AGCCTGGCCCGGGGAGCCTCTCCCTGCATACAGGACACAGCTGGCCAGCCCAGGGGGAGGTCTTGCTTAAGATAGTTCTTCCCAGAAATAGCTGTCTGGAGGGTCCCAGGGGGAGCAGGCTCAGCAGGATGGCCAGGTTGGGCTTCCTGGGCCCTGCCCACCCCCCAGTGGGCCTCAGTTTCCCCAGGAGGGATCCCTCTTCCCCAGGGCAGCAGGACCCAGCCATCACCCCCTCCTCTGCCTGAGTCCAGCCTCCAGGAGTGTGCCTCCTGCAGGCGCCACCGTATCAAGCTGCATCAAAGGGGAGCTGACTGTCTCCCACTGGCCCTCGCCTGACCCCGGGGAGAGCTGGCCTGCCAAAAACCTCCCTCCCCTCCCAGCCACTTGAAACCCACCACCCCCTCCTCCCACCGCTCCGGAGCCTGGCAGGCGCCCACCCTGGCGTCCAGATGGTTCCCAGCGCTATCTGCTGTCTGGCCTGGCCCTGCCCCACGTCTCCCTGGACGTCTGAGTGCCCTGTCCCCGGAGTCCTCTCCTGACTCAGCTCCTGGACCCAGAGCTTTCCCAGGGTCCCTCGGCTCAATCTGGCCCAGGCCTGGCCCCTTCTCTTCCCTTCAGCCTTCGGGCATCACCTGCCCACGCCCACAGTGCCTGCTCCTACCTCCTGATGCCACTCTGCGATTTCTTCAGGAGACACCACGGAGACGCCCAAGCTCAGCAGGGCTGTTCTTACGGCTGCCTCTCCCCCACCCACCCCCATCCTGTGAGCCAGGCTACCGAGCCATGCTGGCCTCCTCTCTGTCCAGACCCACATGCTGATTCAGCCCTCCTGACTGTCCCCTGCCTGAGACCACTGCCCCTCAAAGCCTCCCTCCACTCACCAGTTGCCTTCTAGCCCAAGAACAGGCTGCCAATCAGATAATGTTGCCTCCTCAGATGAAAAACCAACCAAAGGCAGGGCCATCATGCTGAGTCTGATTCATCGCGTTGCTACGAGTAAGGACCCATTTGAAGGCCCATAGGAACCGCACAGCATCCTGATGAGTCGGAATCAACTCAATGACAACTCCATGTAAAGAAGACCCAAGTGCTCACCTTCGGATCAATAGGAACATCCTGGAATGCCTGATCTGGGCAAGGGTTCCATCTTGCTTGGATTCACCATCAGTGCTCATAGAAGCAGCGGTCGCCATCCAACAGTGCGTGGCACTGGCTACATCTGCTGCACACGACCTCTTTCAAGGTCGGAAAAGCAAGGCGGTTACTTTGAGGACGCAGGTGCTCCTGAGCCAAGCCAATCAGTGCCCTCCTATGCGTGTGCAGGTCGGACACTGAACAAGGAAGGCCGAGGAAGAATCAGGGCATCTGAATTGCGGTGCTGGTGAAGAATATTGGAAGTGCTACTCGGGGCCGTTCTGGGCTGCCCTGTCGGGTCGCTGTGAGTCAGAATTGATTCAATGGCAGGGAGTTTGGTTTGGGTTTACATAGGCCTAACTTGCACACTGTCGGTTTTCCCTCTATTGTCTGTCTTCTGGAAAGCTTTGTGTCATTATTTTTAAAATGCATGACCTTATTTTACTTTTAAGCCACTACTGTAGTTTTGTTCAGTAAAATAGTTCTTTTTTTTTTCAAAAGAGAGAGAACTATGAACTGCCAGGAGAACAAACACATCTGTCTCGCGAGAAATAAGGGCAGCGTGCTCCTGAGAGGCAAGGAGGATAAGACTTCGTTTTACATACTTTGGACATGTTGTCAGGAGAGACGGAGTCCCTGGAGAAGGACATCATGCGTGGTCAAGGGGAGGGACAGCGAAGAAGAGGAAGACCTTGACCGAGATGCATGGACCCAGTGGCTATAACGCTGGGCTCAGACACATGAGCCGTTGGGAGGTGGGCGCAGGACCGGGCAGGGTTTTGTTCGGTTGTGCAGGGGGTTAGGATGGCTCAGAATGGATTCCATAGCCCCTAACAACAGCACACCTTTATTAAACACAAATACCCTGGTATGGGAAGCTGTTCTCTCTTGACCCAGCCTCCAGGTATGTGTACAGTGAACCCTCGTTTATCGCGGTTAATCGGTTCTAGACCCAACCGTGATAAATGAAATTCTGCGAAGTAGGATTCCTTATTTGTAAATCAAATTTTCTGTAGTTAGAGCATAGAGGACATGAAAAAACACCCTTTAGTCACCATTACACTCGTATTACCCAATTTATTAAACGAAAAAGGGAAAATACAGTAAAACATTTTGGACATTACAATGATCATTTATTATTTATTATATTATTTATGGCATCAAGCGTGTTCAGTATGAGCCAATCAGTGGCAGTAATGACAGAGCATGAGCTGTTATGCAAAAACCGCGATAGAGTGAAGCTGCGGAAGTCGAAGCGCGAAGTGGCGAGGGTTCACTGTACACACGTTTCTAGGTGATGTGTCTCTCTCTCCCTTCCCCGAAAGGATTCTGTGCTTTTCAATTTATATCATGTCAAGGCGGCAGCTTGGGCCTCCTGGAAGGACTCGGGTCACATGACTTTGAAAAGATCTTTGTGTTTGGGGGACAAACAAAGTTGGCAGGGGCAAGAACAAGGCAGGGGGGTGGATGGGGTAAAGGTCCCCCCCTGAGAGTCTACACGGTCCTCGCAACTTCTTCTTAAGCCCCCAAGACTGTCCTGGGTCCTTCTCGAAAAATCCATCAAGATTTGAGATGCGCCAGAACTATAACCTGCTCAGCCTTGGATTGAACTGGCCCAAGTGTCTTCAGAAGCCCCTGTTTAGGTGGGACCTTTGTTTTGAGGGTGCCCCAAAGAACTAAGACAAGTAGATTGTTGAGAAAACTTGTCTGCAGCCACCCACTGATGGCACAGATATATGTAACGGCCTTTTATCCGGAGTAAACCCATGCACCTTGGTACTGGAGGCCCTAGAACCTACACTTTGTGACTCACCTTAGTTTTGAAACCAGGATGATTGGGGGTGGGGTGGGGGGATGGGGCTGAAGAGGCAAGGAAGGGTTCATTTTATATTTTGCTCAGGGGAGTTTTTGTGAACGGTGGCGGAATGTTTGGGGTGCAAGGATGTTTGCACAACGGGAGGAATGTCGTCCAGTCACTATTGTACACATGGACATGGCTCAGATGGCCTAAGTTTTGCTACGTGTATTTTCACAACAATAAGAATAAATCTAAAGATGGCTACAAATATAAAATTAGCATTCCTTAAAAAAAAAATTTACCTCTACCCAGGGGTACTATGGATGCCGCCTACAGGCTGCTGAATTTGTGCCCAGACTGCTGAAGGGGACACGTGGACACACTCCAGGTCGCGCCCTGGCCCCGCCCCCATCCACGAGCGGGACCTTAGCTCCGCCCCCGCACCGGTCCCGCGGGCCCTCGCTATTGGGTCTGCCCTAGAACGCCGCGAAGCGACCGGTTCCTCATTGGTCACTTTTTCTTCTGGCGTTGCCGGCACAACAACTGCCACGTGCTCGACCGTGGAGCCTGCTCATTGGTCCGCAAGTTAAACCGCCTCTGCGTCTGCCCCGCCCAGGCATCGGGCCCACTTCTTTCATTGGCTACCAGGCCCCACGGTCCCGCCTTCCAAACGGCGCACCCGACATGGATTGGCGGAGGGTCAGGATGAGGCGGGACTCGGAAGCGGATTAAAGAGTGGGCTTCAGGCCCCATCACGCGTGCCTCAGAAGGCGCCATGGCGTGGCAGGGCGTGGCGGCCGAGTTCCTGCAGGTCCCCACGGTGACGCGAGCCTACACAGCGGCCTGTATTCTCACCACTGCTGCCGTGGTGAGCCAGCTGGGGGAGGGCAGGGCGGGACGGGGCAACGTCGCCATGGTGACGGCCAGGTCTGACAGCCCCTGACTGTGCCCGCCCGGGTTCCGCAGCAGTTGGATCTCCTGAGCCCCTTCCAGCTCTACTTCAACCCGCACCTCGTGTTCCGGAAGTTCCAGGTGCGGCCGCCCCGCCCCGCCGCACCCCCTTCGCCTTGCCCAACCTCACCCTCGCCCCTCTGCTCGCTTCCAGAACAGCCCTGCAGCCCGCCCCCCCACTTTCGCCCTGCCCCCGTAGCCCCACGCTTACAGCCCCCAGATGCCAGGCTGCAGCCCCATTTCAGCAGCACGCCCCGCCCCTGCCCGCCTTGCAGGTGTGGCGGCTGATCACCAGCTTCCTCTTCTTTGGGCCCCTGGGATTTAGCTTCTTCTTCAACATGCTGTTCGTGTATCCTAAACCCTGGCCGGCCGGGCGGGCTGTGCGGGCAGGGGAAACTAAGGCAGGCGCGCAGCGCAGCGCTTCCTATACTGGCGCCCAGGTTCCGCTACTGTCGCTTGCTGGAGGAGGGCTCGTTCAGAGGCCGCACTGCCGACTTCGTGGTCATGCTCCTCTTCGGGGGCGTCCTCATGACGGTATCCTTCCGGGGGCTCGCCCTCATACCCTTGGGCCAGGCGTGGCTCTGTGGGAAAGGCCAACCCAGGCTGCGCCCTGGATGCTGGTGGAGCACGGGCCAGATTTTTGGGGGGGCGGGGGCGGTTTGATAACCAAAGGCGCCCAGCAGCGGGGAAATACAAAACTCACAGCCATCGATTCATTGAACAGGGTAGAACTGCCCTGGTGAGTTTCCTCTGGGAGGGAGTAGAAAGCCGGTATCTTTCTGGAGGAGGGGCTGAAGGTCTGCTCCCAGGGCAGGGGAGGAGGGTTCACTGAGTCAAGACCCGAGGCTCCAAGGGGCAGGACAGGACAGGCGGTTGCCCCCTGACCCATTGACTCGGGCACAGCTGCTGGGGCTGCTGGGCGGCCTGTTCTTCCTGAGCCAGGCCCTGGTGGCCATGCTGGTGTACGTGTGGAGTCGGCGCAGCCCGAGCATCAGGGTCAACCTCTTCGGGCTCCTCACCATCCAGGCACCTTTCCTGCCCTGGGCACTCCTGGGCTTCTCGCTGCTACTGGGCAACTCCATCCTAGTGGATCTGCTGGGTGAGCCGAGTGGAGGGCCAAGGGCCCTCATGAGCACCCAAGCCCCCGCCTCTGCCCCCAACACCCTCAAACCTGCCCTCAGCTTCACCTTTGGGATCAGCCCAGCCAGGGACTTCCCCGAGAACGGCCCTGGCCGTCCTGTGCAGGTGGTCTTGTCCCTCCCCAGGGATCACTGTGGGCCACGTCTACTACTTCCTGGAGGACGTGTTTCCCAACCAGCCTGGAGGCAAGAGGCTGCTGCTGACCCCCAACTTCCTGTGAGTACTGGGGGCACCTGGCCACCACCACCTACTTCTGGGCCTGGTGGGGTGGTACTTGGCTTAGCTTGGCATGAATGCTCCCAGGAAGCTGCTGCTAGACACCCCAGAGGAGGACCCCAACTACCAGCCCCTTCCAGAAGAGCAGCAGTGACATCCTGGGGCAGCCCCCACCCTGAATAAACAGTGACCTGCAGCCTCTCAGCCGTGTCGTGGTGTCCTGTGCACCCCGGCTGCCCCGTCCTCTCCTGTGGAGCCAGGCTGCCCTGAGCCCTGATGAGGGTGGCTGCCTGCCGTGCTTTCGCAGAGCCTCGCCCTGGCTTGTGGCGCCTTCAGGGGCCTTCGGCAGGTCTCACCTGGTTGCGTGTGGCCGGGTCACTTTGCTCAGCAGCCCACCTCCTCCAGGCTCACTTTGCCACTTAGCCAGTGGGTGCCACCGAGGCCTCATGGGGTCCTTCACCCTATGACTCCGAGCTCAGAGAACGTGCCACCTTGGTAGAGCGTGGGTAGGCCAGGCCGATACTGGGCAGTGAAGCCCCTGCCCATTCGAGTAAGCTCTGGTTGCCATTGGCTAAGTGGTGGTCAAGTGGTCTTGGCTGGCTCTCCTGCTATCCCGACACTTAATGCCTGTGCCCCAGGCGACCTGCCCCCTCCTCTTCTGTGAAGACAGGCGGGGCATATGCTCAGCTCACCAGAGCCGCAGCCAGGCCAGGGGCCTCAGGAGGGAGATTTTTTTATACTACATGTGCCTGTGGGCCGACACTGGGTCAGTGCCACTCCCCACAGCCTGGGCTGGGGGCTGCAGCCCCGGATGAAACAGCCAGGCCCTGGGATGTGTGAGACTTGCTACTTGCCATAGCCGGACAGAGCAGGATTCTACAATGGGTGCCCTGGCCTATGCTGGCTGTGGAGGTCTGCTGTCCTGGGGCTCTGGGGCTTTGACTGGCAGGTAGGCATGTGTGCTGTGAGGTACTGAGAAGCCAGCTGGACCGGGGGCCACAGCGGGTGTGCCTGCTGGAAGCCAGGCCCAGTCGCAGCCCCCCAACTCATATCTGATCACATTACTAAGAGACAGGCAAGGTGACCTATATTGCCTTTTATTGAAAAAGTGTTGCCCCACCCCCACCCCCCACCTCAGGGCTCCTATAGAAAAACTAAACACAGCTCAAAATGAGGCCCTGACCCTGAGCCTGAGGGTTGGGATGTATGTGTGTGTGAGAGAGAGAGAAGGGGGGATGGGGGCGGGAATTTCAGCACCACATGGCTGTCTTGCCTCTCCTTGCTCAGAAGGTTCTTGGTGGCGGCAGTGTGGTCTCCTTGTCGCTGCAGTGGGTGCCCTTGCCAAGGTGTCACCAGGCTGGGGCAGTGTTGGCCAGACGCCGCATCCGTCTAAGAAGGAAAGGGCAGTGAGCTGGGCACTGCCCACTGCAGGTCCCCTGCCTCTCCAGCCCACAAGCAATCAGGGCTCTGAGGGTGGTGTTGCCCGGGGCCCTGCATCTGGCATGGGGTCGCCTCCCTAAGATCGTAGGCCCAAGGTCAGTGTGTGTGTGTGTGTGTGTGCAATTGGTGTGTGTACCTTGTGTTCCGGTCCTGGTCCCGAATCTTCTTCTCCATCTCTGCATCGGTCAGCGTCTCCAGCAGTGGGCACCACTGGTCAGCATCGCCAGTGTTCCGGATAGCGATCTCCACTGTGGGCAGGGGGTTCTCACTATGGAAGTGGGGAAGGGCTGAGGTGGGTCACTCAGACTCCACTGTGTAGGGCATACCCCCAACAGGACCCATCAGGGTTCCTAGGCTTGGGGGAGGAGGACACACCACTGGGCTGCCCACCCCTGAGCTCTGTGCATGGCGGCCCTTCCTGCGGTCACAGTCTGTCACTGAGAGGCCCGGTGAACAGAGGCTGAACTAGAGACCGTTACTGACTCCTTGGCCACGGGCGCTAGTCGGTCCTGAGGGCTCCAATGGTCTGGACAGTGTGGTGGAGAGGGTGCCAAGTGGCTGCCCACCAGACACATGGATAGCAGGATCCATCTGTCCCACCCAGGGATGGGCCGCAGCCCGCTAGGCCCTAAAGGTGAGCCCCCACTCATACCCCAGGTTTTCACCACATGCCTATGAGGCAGGGAGCACTTCTGGGGGGGGCTGTGAGTAGCCATCTCACCGTCTGAGCTTGCGCCCAAGGGGCTAGAATAGCCAGTTCCCCAACATGCCCAATGGCAGCTGCCCGTGTCCCCTCTGTGGAGCTGGCCCGGGCCGTGGTGGGGCCTGGACACAGCTCGAGCTGCTGGCTCAGAGTGTGAGCCTGGGCGACACCAGGCAGGCGGGCTCGGCAGCTCTTGCCTGATGCAGCAGCCCAAACACCGTCCATCACCTGGCACAGCCGCGCTCCTGAGGGATGGGAGGGAGCCACAGCCAGGTTGAGGGGTAAATGTGCTCGTCCTGAACCTCCTGGGGGCTCCTCCCTGACTGGGGAGGAATCCCCAGTGGGTCTTCCTTTAGGACCCACCCACGCAGGGCCTGGAGCAGAGCCCCCTCCTCAGTAGAGGCGAAGGGAAGCTGCCCACCCAGAGAAATAGGAAGTCTTGTCCAAGCAGGGCAGAAGACCCGTCTGTCTTCTCCAAGAACTAATGCTGGAACCACGGAGCCTCCCTCCACAAGGGTGCGGCTCCCCCTACCTCACACCACACGCAAAACGGAGGCCGGCGGATGAAGTGCCTAAACACACAAGCCCGACGCCATCGACCTGAGTGGAAGGTGCAGGCGCACATCACGACGGGGGGGTTGGCAACAGCGTCTGCCGAGAGACGCACAGGAAGAAAAGCCGAGGTGCCGGGCTTCACCACAGAGAGATACTTGCTTCTCAACACCCACACAATCACGGGCTCTCGTGTCCACAATCCTAGGAGCCCTGCCTGGTGGCAAACTGGTTTGTGCTGGGCTGGGCACCCAGGTCAGTGGTTCGATCCTCGGCCGTGGATATGCACAGCGGCTGGGCTCTGACCACCAGCCTCCAGTTGGGACCACGTGTAGACCCCAAGGTCACGGGAAGACAAAATGCAGTGAGAACGTGGTGACAGACTTGAACAGTTACTTCTCCAGTGAAATCGTACGAAAGACCAGTGAGCCTGTGACAAAGGTTCTCCTTAACAACAAAGATGCCAGCGCCCCATCCGTCCGCCCCAGGCTGGCGAGACTGAAGGAGGGACGCGGGAGTGTCAGCAAGTCTGGTGGAAGCAGGGCCCCGACGGTGGGGAGGCAGTGGAGCGCAGGGGCTGGAAAACGGGCTGGCGCTTCCACCGGGGGTGGCGTGTGGGTTACCACGTGGCCCAGCAATTCAGCTCCCCGAGAAAAGGGAACACCGCCTCACACAAGACAGCCAGCAGCACCCTGACCTCACAGCACCCCTAAGGTGGGAAGCCCATTAGCTGAGAATAGGTAAGTAAAAAGGGGCCTGGCCATATCAGGGCGCACTCCCTCCCCAAACAAACTCACTGCTCAGGAGTTGATGCCAACTCACAGCAACCCTACGGGACAGTGTAGAACCGCCCCAGGCTAACTCCTTAAGGGAGCAGAACCCCGGACCTTCTCCTGCAGAGCGGCAGCTGTTTTCAGACTGCTGCTCCCGAGGTTAGCAGCCCAACACATATCCACTAAGCCATCAGGCTGTAAGGGAACACTCCTCCGCTTCGGGATAATCTTCCAATACGCCTGCAGTGGAGGAGCCCACGGTCACTGGAAGACACAAGGCCCGACTGCACGACAGCTCAGGTGGCAAAGCACACCAGAACAGGCAGCCCCCGAGACAGAAATGGGCCGTGGGGTCAGCGGGAGGGATGGCCCTGTGACAAGCCTACAGTGGCGGCAGGTTTATCACCGACGATGGCACTGCAAAGCACTGAGCGTACATGGTAACGGTGCCCCTTAAGGGATCACGGCTGCAGCTTTTAAACAACCTGTTGTAAAAATTCGCCCACCGTAATGCCAGGCCAGGACTAACCTTTATGGCCCACCCATATGCACCGAAACTGATCCCCAGCCTGCTCCTGAGACTGTCCTAGGCCACGGTCCCCACTCCCAGGTCCAGGGTCCTGAGCCCTTACCCTGCAGCTGCCCCAGAACACATGCTGGCAGGGGTGCTGGTGTGAGGGGCTCCGGAACCCATCCACAGTCGGTGTCCAGAAACATGCTGTCCGCTTGCCTCCCTATAGGAGGCCCTAGTGTGTGGCCGGGCAGACACCAGGCCCCATGTCAAGCTGCCGAGAGCAGGACACATCATCGAGGCTGGGAGACCGGGGTGGGGGTGGGGGTGCCCCGTGCCAGCCTCACCCCAGGTCCTGTGAGACATCCCAGCCTCAGTGCAACTGCTGGGGCGAGGTCGCCTGTGGAGCCTGCTGGACCCCCGCCCAGTCACTGCTCAGCCCCAGACACAACTGCTCCCGCTCAGAGTAACAGGATCAGCAGTGAGGCCTGGGTGTGGGGGCTGTTTCTGGGAAACAGATGAATCACAGCCGTTGTCTCAAGCACATGAGCCCTCCTGTCTGCGGTTGGCTGGATCCCTGAGCCTTGGCCCGCCTGTCACATGTGTCTTCTGACACTGAGGGGCACCAGGGCTCCGTGGTCCATCCCCATCCCCTCCTCCGCCCCCCCCAACCCTGGCTCACAGGAACTAGTGCTTAGAGGACACAGCTGGCTGCCTGTTCACACCCACGATTCTCAGCAGGGGCCAGCTGGCCCAAGGGCTGCTCCTCCACTGCTCCCTGAGCTGCTGAAGGAACGAGCAAGATGAGGAACAGCAGCAGCTCTGGGCTCCTTCCACAGTGTGCCTGCCTGCAGGCCGTGCATGTGCCCATGTTGAGCTGTGAGGGTGCCGGGGACAGATGGCCCCAGGGAAAGGCCAGATGGACAGGATGAAGGGGTTCCGAGGGGGTGAGGTGCCGGGAAGTTCTCTTGTGAGGGGGAGAGGCGCCTGTCTCTAGTCTGAGGGAGCACATGCCCAGAGCCCCCAACATGGAGAAAGGTCTCCCTGAGATGCTGTGCAGCAGACACGTCAGGAGTGTGGTCTTCGGGACACCCAAGTTAACTGCCTTGACAGAGGTCAAGAAAACATTGTGCACATCCTGCTTTGGAGGGTGGTGACGGGTCTTGAAAGCTTGTGAGTGGCCACCTCAGAGGCAACTACTGGTCTCTCCTCGTCTAGAGGAAAGGAGAGTGGCGAACACCCAGACACGGGGAGCAATCAGTCCGAAGGACCCGCAGCCCACACAAACATCAGCTTCCACAACCCTGAGACCACAAGAGCCTAGAGGGTCCCGGCTAGCACTCTCAGCTGCGCTGAAAGGGAAGACAGCAGAGCAGGGGTCCTCAAACTTTTTAAACGGGGCCAGTCACTGTCCCTCAGACCCGTTGGAGAATCAGACTATAGTTTAAAAAAAAACTATGAACAAATTCCTATACACACTGCACATATCTTATTTTGAAGTTAAAAAAAGCAACACAGGGTAAAAACACCTGGTGGGCCGGATAAATGTCCCCGGCAGGACGCATGTGGCCTGCGGGCCGTAGTTTGAGGAGCCCTGCATTAGAGGATCCTGGATCAAGTGGGAGAAAACTGGACAAAAGGCCAGGTTTAGTGGCCTGAGATGGGTGGAAACCCTGAGATGAAGCCCTTAGTCACCCTTCAGGGCAGGAACTGGGCTCACCTTGAAGCCCAATTGTCAGCCACACAATAGGTCTGAAAGGGGGCAAATAATCCGAGAGAGAAAAAGACCTTGGACCAACCAACCATCTGAGAGCCAAAGGGCAGTGCTTACCCCAGGTCAGGGGCTAGGGAAGGAGGAAGGATGGAAAGGGAGCAGTGGGATGAGGGGGGTCGGCTGTGGGGACGGCTGTCAGTGACTGGAAACACGAGACTGGCTGATCTGTCCTGTTAGCTATCCAACTCACCATACAAACCCCAACCATACAAACCAACAGAAGCAATTCAAAAAGGAAGGCAGCAACAGAGGTGGGGGGGGTGGCTGTCCTACCTGAAGGCGTACGTTTTCTGGTGCCAGCTCAGCTGTCCCCGGATGCTGTAGGCGATGGTGGTGACAAACTCGCCCCCCAGGCCGAGTTCTGAGCACAGCTTCAGTGCAAACTTCTCAGGCGAGTTCTCCTTCTCTGACATGTCCCACTCAAACTGGTCCACCAGGGAAATGTTGCCCACGTGGATGTTCAGCTGGGGGGCGGGCACGCAACCAGGGTCAGGGTCTGACCAGCCACCCTCCCTACCCACCAGGCACCAGCTGGGACCTGGGAAAGAGCTTGATTTCCCCACCTGCAAAACAGGCCCCGGAGGCTGCAGAGAGGGGGAAGCCTGGCCATGGAGGCCCCGGCTGGCTCATGATGCGGGTCCCGTAGCCTACTGGCTCTCAGCACAAAGAGCTCCTCCTGCCTCAGGGCTGGGACCCCATCTTTCTATTGTCTCGGCAGGCAGGCAGGGCTCAGGGTCCCTGAGCGCACGTCTCCCTCCCTCCAGGGCTATGGAGGAGCTTCCACCTGCCCCACCGTGCAGGCCCACCCGAGACCCTAGGCTCCTGGGAGGGGAGGGGAACAGCGGGCCGCAGGAGCAGATGGTGGGCTGGGGGCTGTGCTGAGCAACCTTGATGATGACACGCTGGTCCGACTGGTCCTCCAGGATGCTGTCCGTGGGGTACGACTCGATCTGCTGCCGGATAGCCGAGGCAATGGCCGGCACGAAGGTCAGCGGGTTCAAGTCCAGGTCATCACACAGGATCTCTGAGAACATCTCGGGGGTCATCAGCTTCTCTGTGGTCAGGGGACAAGGAGGCCACTGATGCTCAGGGCCTGGGCACCTGGATGCCCCTCCCATTCCTCATCTGCCATGTAGGCTGGGGACACCAGGGTGGCCCTCATGGATGGGGGAGGGAGATGTGACACAAGTCAGGACAGCCCCCCACAGGGTACAGCTGGCTTGACTCCTGCCGGCAAAGCTGCTCAGAGAAACACCAGCACCTGGCCCTCCCTCTGTGGCTAGGGTTTAGGGCTAGCTCCCCTTGCCTGCTCCTCTGGGGACCCACACTGTGCTGCATGGCACGGCAGGGG